CACTACTAATATATATTCCTAACATTCCACCCTCCTTGAAAGCGACCTTGTCCTCAAGGTTGCAGTCAACTTCCGTCTTTTTGATCTTGATCTTCCGCTTTCTTCGCTTCCAATTGCGCTCAATCCCTTGCACGAACTCTTCTCGCACAACTCCCACTTTCCTTGTCTCTTCTCCACCCACGTGACATGTGTCACGTTCTCCATATCCGAACAATTCTTCCTCTTTTTTTACGAAGTCCACGAAATAAGAGTTGGAGAACTGTTCTTCATTTTTCTTCATAAATTCTTCCGCCATTTTGGTAGTGAAGATAACCCAACCTTCTATTCCTTCACTTTGGACTCGGCCCACCATTGCTTGAAAGAATGAGCATTGACCCAAATCATTGCCAAGCCCCTTTGTATTTTCCTTCTTAATTTCGTTTGGGCTTGAATTCCTTATAAGCCCATCTGCCATGGTAAGAAACCAAACTTTTATAAACTCGAATGGGTCTGGTCTCCTTAAAAGCCCACGATTTATGTCCACCAAACCTTCTTTCTTTAAATGTCTTCTCTGCACAATAAACCCCATATAACAGTCATTGGGCTTGATCTCTTCAAGACCTGGCCCATTAACTAATAAAAACCCTTCCTCCTGATGCGGCCCAATCTTTTCAATTAAGCCCGTCATGTCCCTTCTTGTTGTCATCAGATCTTCAAGCCCACAACTAGTCTCTTTCCCAGCCCACTCCTTTCTCAATTGTGACCTAACTTTGGAGATGTAACCCACTACCTCCTCCCCACTCGGTTGGGCTAATAGAACTCGGCCCAAACTGGCAGGCTGCTGCCTAGGGTTCACAAGGAGGAGAGGAGTGCCGCCCTCCCTCGTCTTCTTCTCCATCACTTCCTTCCGCGACGGCGACGCGCCCAACCGCCGGCACGATGGCCACCCTGCCTCCTCGGTTTGCTTTAGCGTCCTCTCCTCTGGAGGCAACCCGCCACCATCCTTCTTCTCCGACTCGTCCTCCGTCGTCGGTTCCTTCTGTGGTGGCGCCCGCTTGTCCTCGTTCACCGGCGACGAGTCGTCCCTCTCCTTCTTCTCCGGCGCCTCGCCCGTCATTGCTGCGGCTGGAGTGGGCGATGTCACCCGCACGATTCGTGCCAGCGGCGAAGGCTCACGGTGGACCTGCTCCTCGATCTCCCTCCTCTTCTCGAGCTCGACGGTGAACGCAGGTTGTTCCAACCATTCTTCGAAATCGATTTCTGCTATCATCGGTTCGATTGGAACTGGGCTCCTCTCCATCCTCCGTCGGCGAGTGTTTCCGGCAGATTCCAACTTCATCTTAAGAATCCGAGTGAGTTCTTCGATCGAGAGATCGAAGTTGGTCGAAACCATAGTACGAGTGCCACAACCGGGCTCTGATACCACTAAAAGAACCCTCTTGTTAAGGATTCTAGAGACTGATCTTCGGCACTCGTGAGATTGGGATTTAGGGTTGAGATTAGGGATTTAGATAGAAGAATTGGGGATTAGGGATTGAAGAACAGAATTGGGGTTGAGATAGAAGAATGACTGACGGCCTTTAGGGAAGAGAGGGACGAGATTTGAGAAGGATTAGAGACTAGGGTTTGAGAGATACTTTCTGTAATATTATTCTTGACTGATTATGACGTAAACCCAAAGTACATATATATAGGAAATAAACCCAAAACCCTAACAATTAACCCTAACTCATTCGGCTGTACCTAGCCGCCTAAACTCTACTAATCATAACACTATTGATATATATTCTAACACCCGACATTGTTGGAAATTTGGTTGAACCGGACTAACCAAGTCAAACCGGTTTTGGGTTGGACCGACCAACCGGTTTGGTATTAGACCGACCGAACCGATATTCTAATTCCGTGAAGGGACACATCCCTTTGGCCTAGTGGCGGTTGCATTATTTTATGGATAAGGATAACCTTATGGATAGAGGCAACCCTTCATATGGATAAGGATAACCTTTCATATGGATAGAGGCAACCTTTCATATGGATAAAGGCAACCTTTCATAGGGATTAAGGCAACCTTTCATGAAACAATGCATGGATTCGGCCCCTATAAATATGTGTGGGGTGGATGATGCCACATACCATCAAACATATTCTTCTTCTTTCTTCCAAAAATTTCTAAGTATGCTTTAGTGTTCTTGAGCCTGGAACCTAAAGTGGTGATAGTTTTATCCTCGGGAGAAATTTCCTGTAACCCAAGGCTTTGTAGAGGGTGGAAATATTCTTTTCGGAAAGTGAACATTGTTCACGACTCTATCACAATCCTGGTCACCCGGTCTCGGGCTATCGTACGTATACCCTCGTCCCGAAAAGTCCCAACAATCGAAAAGAATAATTTTCCGGTACGATGGCTCGAACCGCTCTTTACAAGAAACCAGTTCCGGTCTATGGAATTATGAGAATGTTCGATGATGGGTTTTTCATTGATGGCAGTAGAAGATGGGTTTTTCTTCGTACTTATCTCATGGTGTATTCCATATCCGGAAGGTAACTTGGAAGAGGGATGATTCAAAGATGAGGAAGAAGGAGAATGATTCGTAAAATGGAGAAATAGAAGAATGAAAATTGCCTTTGGGTAGGTCACATACTCAATGGTTAAATAATCTAATTCTCTATTAGACATTTACGAAGTTCTAGATAAACTTGGATTTGTCTAGTGGTTTGGTGGTGTGATTTTGTCTAGTGGTTTATGTTATTTTAAACCAAGGAGACAAAATTGTATACACAATGTGTGATGATTCTGGTAATAGAGTCGTTGTGTTTGTATGTAGATGACATATTTATCTTTGGGACCAATCAAAGATAAGTGATTTGTCAAGTGGTTTATGTTATTTTAAACCAAAGAGACAAATGTGTACACAATTGATGATGATTCTGGTAATGAAGTCATCGTACATTTGTATGTATAAGATATGCTTATCTTTGGACCCAATAAAAGACAAGTGAACTTTAATAAAAAGTTGTTATTTCAATTCTCCATGTAGGATATGGGGGAGGCAAATGTGATTATGTGTATTGTATCAAGCGGAACGACAAAAAGGAGTCATTCTCTCAATTTTTCTACACGAGAAGGTACTTGCATAAATTCCATAGTAGGAATTGTAGTGAGTTCAAGACCCCAATGGATCCAAGTATGGAACTTATGGTTAATACTGAAAATCAGTTTTACAACTGGAGTATTCCATGTTAAATTGAGGGCTCGATGTATGCATGATTTACATGATGCTAGATATCGCATATGCGATAGAACAATTAAGTTGGTATGTGATGAATCCTAGTTCTCATCATTTGAAATGAAATTAGGCGTGTACTAGGATATGTCAAAGGCACACTGTATTGACTTATAGTGGCTTTCCATCAATTTTGGAAAGGATTTGTTGATGTTAGTTGGATTTCTCATGTTAAAGGTGATACTTCAACATTGAGATGGGTCCTCTTGCTTGGGAGAGGTGCCATAATTTGGGCCTCTAGAAAGCAAACTTGCATCACTAAGTTTCACTATGGAATCAAAATTTGTGTGGCCTTGATTTCTCTTAGAGAAGAGACATAATTGTTGAGAGGTTTGGTTTATGACATATATTTATTGCTAAACCAATCTCACCTATTACTATCTTTTGTGATAGTAATGCTAATTTGGCTAAGGCATATAGTCAAGTGAAAATGACAAGTACGATCATGTGGGAGTAAGGCACGGTAAAAGCTGTAAACTGATCATTCATAGTGTTGTGTCTAGACAGTATGACCAAACTCAAAATAATTTGGTTGATCATTTGACGAAGTGGTTAACTAGTGACTTGGTGATCAAGTCTGTGAAAGGGATGGTTTAAAGTCCATATAATTTCTGGTAATGGGACACCCAATTCCCCTCTAATACAACGTTAGAGGCTGAATTCAATGTGGAAAGCTTATTATCAGAAATTGAAGCACACAATTTTTCATCCCGAGGTATGTGCTTGTTATCCTGCATGAGAGAAGAGGATGAAGTTCAAAACTTCTTAATTGAATCTTTGAAAAAGTGTATCATGCGGGTACACGAATAAGAGATTCAACCTACGTAAGCATGAAGTGTAGCCGCTTCAAGAAACCCGGACTTTGGTTTCGTGTGCGCTTATGAGAAGGATTGGACACATGGCGGATAATAGTGTCAAGGCGCTTAGAAGTTTTGAAAACTTAAGTATATATTATCTTCGAATATTCATATGAGTCAATGGGTTCAATCGTTACCGACACCCTTTGTATTCGAGTATTCGTCAAGTGTAATATACTAAGGTGAAAATTCAATCGTCACGACATTTTCATTTATGCTTAAGTTTTGTTGGAAGAATGTTGTGATTTTAGTGAATTCTAGGAATACACTAAAATGGGAGAGGAATGTTGGAAATTTGGTTGAACCGGACTAACCAAGTCAAACCGGTTTTGGGTTGGACCGACCAACCGGTTTGGTATTAGACCGACCGAACCGATATTCTAATTCCGTGAAGGGACACATCCCTTTGGCCTAGTGGCGGTTGCATTATTTTATGGATAAGGATAACCTTATGGATAGAGGCAACCCTTCATATGGATAAGGATAACCTTTCATATGGATAGAGGCAACCTTTCATATGGATAAAGGCAACCTTTCATAGGGATTAAGGCAACCTTTCATGAAACAATGCATGGATTCGGCCCCTATAAATATGTGTGGGGTGGATGATGCCACATACCATCAAACATATTCTTCTTCTTTCTTCCAAAAATTTCTAAGTATGCTTTAGTGTTCTTGAGCCTGGAACCTAAAGTGGTGATAGTTTTATCCTCGGGAGAAATTTCCTGTAACCCAAGGCTTTGTAGAGGGTGGAAATATTCTTTTCGGAAAGTGAACATTGTTCACGACTCTATCACAATCCTGGTCACCCGGTCTCGGGCTATCGTACGTGTACCCTCGTCCCGAAAAGTCCCAACAGACACGGCTCAGTTGAAACCTTTCAGATATTCCGAATCAACCACTGAAATATCCACTCCTTACAACACGTACCACCTCCCCTGCCTCCACCCACGATTTCAACCCTCCCCATCTCGGGCCGCTGTTTCTTGCATAGCAAGAAATCCCACCCTCCACACTCTCCGATCGCTGCCCCGGGATTCAGTGCTGCGCATGAAACTTATCAGTATAGCAGAGAAAGAAATCAAACAATTCGGTTAATCGATTTGATATCTCACGTACCATTGAAACCAGTGTAGGCGCGGTAGAGAAGGAAGTCATGGCCGGGATGCGGCCTTCTCGCGCGTAACGCTTCAGGGCGCCGCGGATCACTGCCAGCACGGTGTCGTCGTGGTTTGCCAGAAACCTTATCGGCCCGAAGCTACCAGGAACTGTGACGCTAATCAAGAATCTGTTATTCTTCTTCTTCCTATTATATTCACTAATCAAGAATCTGTGTCGAGACATCACCCTCTCCTTCACGTTACGCTTCAACTCCTCCATCATATAACAAAGGAAAACATAAAAAAAAAACCCCTACCTTTGAACTACGATTGAGCCGATCAGTGATCGAGGCCGGAGTAGTGGTGGTACCAGCAGTTTTTGCAGCAGAGTACTTGGGCAGGGGGAAATGCTAGATAATGTTGTAGCAAAGGGCATCAAATTGGGAGATAATAATGATGATGATGTCCTCTCTTCACCATTCAAGATCGTGAAGAAGATGTGAATCAATATCAGATTGGTGTAAAAATTTATACAACAAGATCCAACCTTGACTGCAATTCTTGGAGTTCTTGTTGAACTGTGGAGGATGCATATAGTCAGGAAAGAAGAAACTGTGGAGACCTAACAATTGTACTATTAGTAAAAGACAGAGAAGATATACAGAGGGAGAGGGACTAAGAACTAAGAAGGGGAGAGCCAGTTGTCAGTTTTACGTGTTTCCAGGTTGTTTCCTGATGCAAAGACGAACTGGCTAAGCACATTCCATTTCTCATCATGGTTTCGGACGGGGCAGAGTAAAAACAATTTAGACCAGATAGAATAATGGCAGCAGGAGAGTGTTTGGTTGTTTGATTCAACGAACGGACCATTATTGAGAATTAACAATAGTAATTACATCAAGTCTTAGCCGACTAAACCCATACATCCAAACAATCCCACAAATTCATTCCTTCTTTTCTTCTTCTGTTTCCTCTTGCCACATCTCCTCCCAATGCTCCCGAGCTTCCTCCAAACCCAGCAACGACCCTTTCCGGTTCGGATCCAAGCTGGTGGAGAGCCCACCGTACGCAATCCCGAGGATCGACGCCGTGAAAGTGAGGAGTGTCGTCATGAAGGGCACCCACAAGGGCAAATCCATCAGATTCCGCTCTTTGACAAACCCAATCAGGTACAGCAAACCGATCCCGAGCCCCATCGGTATCCCAACGGAGACGAATATCCTGGCCGTCATTCTCTCGAACACTTCCTGCGGAATCTCGTCGCTTTCGTTGTTGTTTTTGTTCTTCTTTCCTCCGCCGGAGGGGGATTCTTTAGCTGGTGGGTTGATTGGAGCTGGTGGTGGTGGTGGTGCTCGGGCGCCGCCGCCGAAGCCCTTGGCGTTTGCGTTGAGCTTCCATGGATTGTTGCTGGTGGGTTTGTGGGGACGAAGGAAGGGAGAGGATGGAATTGATGGCTTGGAGGGATGTAGATGAGCCAGGTGAAGAGCTGGTTTCTGGGTAGAAAACAGAGCATTCATGGTGTTTTGGGGATTGGGTTTAGAATGTTTGGTTTTCAGGTTTTTTGCATCTTATCTAGTAAGCTTGGGGGGCTGGTGAGCTACTGAACTAGCGCTGCACTGATCGTCCGATCCTTCGAACTTTTGCTTTTCACTCAAAAATATCTTTTCTTCTTTGACTCGCAAAAGTGAAGTGAGTGAGTGTTCACTGCCATTGGCCCGTCAGAATTTGCAATTTTTATCTCATCAAAATGCAAAGCATTTTAATTTACTAAATTGTTTTTAAGTATGAATTCTTACAACATTATACGATAATTAATAAAAGAAAGAGATTAATTCAGTATTCCACCAAATTAATATAAAAATTATGTGTTATAAAAAGAACATGTAAGAATGAGACTATTATTTAGGGTCACATTATACAAGTGATCCTTTTGTAATTAGCCAAAGCTTGGAGGGGTTTAAATGCTATTGAGGTTCTTATTAATTAGCTTATGACAATTGAACCCAAATTAAACTCAAATTAATGTTGAACACGGAGTTGAATTCGGTGTTTACTTTTGGGTCGACAATGACTTTTGCACGCTTAAAATGACGGGTATTCGACCTAATAGTTGACGAATTTTTGACCAACAACGATTTTTCGTAGAGGCGCATCAACTACATTATTTTATTTTTGAACTTTTTATTAGTTAATTGACTTTTTATTAGTTAATCATATGTTTTAATTATTTTCTTTTATCTCAAATTCATGTGTATTCTACCTAATTGATCTGGTTCGGTGACAATTAACCCAAATCCCATGAGTATTCAGCCTTATTCGACCAGATCAAATTGAGTTGAACCCGGTGTTGACGAATTTTGGTTCTTGAACGCATTTTACCCGCTTTTGTAATTGACGAATTATGTCGGGTGTAATAATGAAATGTTAATCAATTATTTTATTGCTAAAATTTTTATTTGTTAATTCTTTTAATTATTTCCTTTTATCTCAAATTCATGGTATTCAACCTAATCGATTGTTCGGTGTTGCCGAATTTTGAGCCGGGAACAAATTTACCCGTTTTATAATTAATCGGCCTATGTCCAACATGACAGTGTACTTTTCACTATAGCAACGACTTTATAGATGTGTTGAAAGAATTCATGTAGTGAGTGTAAATAGAGTATGAAAATAGGGCATTCGTATATTTACATGAATTGAGATGAGGTCAATAAGTTTGAACTTTAAGGCAGTCGTTCACTAATAGGTGGGTATAGATAGAGGGAATGATTGCGCTGCAGGTCAAACCTCATGAGCCTGAAAAGTTTGGGAACAAGAGCATATTTCTTTTCTTTTATGCCCTAATGTTATGCACTACTCTCGTGGGGTTGCAAAATTTTCGGAAACCTTTCAGACGTATGTAATGTCACCCAAAAGGAACCTTTCAGTCGTTAATGTGTTTGCTCACACTAAATGTGCCCGTTCGGAAAAATTGATATATGCAGTGCGACACATATCACAATCTATTGCCCGTTGCGGAGCACGGGCTTTCCTTACTAGTAAGGCTGTTAATGAACCAAGCCGCTCATGAACGGCTCGGTGTGCGACTCGAGAAAAACTCGTTCGACACTCGATTCGTTTTAATCGAGCCGGCTCGCGAACAAGCTCGTTAACTAAACGAGCCGAACTCGAGCCATACCATGTTCAGCTCGAAAGCTCGCGAACAAGCTCATTTAATGGTTTGACATAAAAAAAGGATTAGAATTCATGAATTTTATGTATTGAAATTGGGATAAATATTGTGTTTTACTTTGCTAGACTTTGTTACAGGTTAGAATGTAATTTTGTGCGCAGTTCTAGGTCAATCTTGAGCTATCATGAACATTTTATGAGGTGAACTCAAATTTGGGCTCGTTAAGCTTATTTGACGAGCCGAGCTCGAGTCGAGCTCGAGCTTTCATTTTCATAAACGAGCCGAGCTCGAGCTTGCATATTAAAGCTCGTGACGAACACGAGCCGAGCTCGAGCCTGGAAATATATTAACGAGCCGAGCCCGAACTATGGCAAAGTTCGGCTCGACTCGGCTCATTAACAGCCCTACTTACTAGTATAATGTGTTGGACGAAAACTAACGAGAGAGTGACTAAATGTGACATGTTTCAGTAATTCGGGCGACCGCAGTTGGACGGAGACTAACAGGAGAGTGACTAAGGTGAACTGTTTCAATAATTCGAGTGATAAAAAATGATATTAAATTTTTGTAGTGACTAAATATGACACAATTTAATAATCTCAGTGACCAAATATTGCATTTACCCAAGAACATAATGTTGAGTCTGTAAATTAAAAGAATAGCGGCTATGCCTTTCTGAGTTTCAAAAGTTACATTTTTTTTATCATTGGTTCTTATTATATTTTTGTAGTGGTTTTATACTCTATTTTCAGAAATTATATAATTTTAATGAGCTTTTTCAATCTAAGTTAGTTTTTGAACGAATAATAGGGGTACATTCGTATCGATTTTGAAAAAGAACATTTTAGTTTGATTTAATTTGACCACATTCATATGTTTTATTTTTTTTTCTCCAAAAATCTGATTTAAGATAAGACAAAATCAGAGTTTGAGACTATAACCATAACGAATTCCAACTCCGAAGACTCGTCATAAACAAAATTTTACAGGCTACCATGTGAGTCACTCTATAATTACTTAATTAGTACCATCAATAAAATGAAGGTCAAACACCAACTATAATGAAACAAAGATCAATCGATAATCGATTAACCATTTATCACCCCTAATGATTAGTACCATCGATAAAACGAAGGTCAAACACGAAATCTGACATTTTGTACACATGGTGAAGTATAGCGCCGCCACTAACAAACCACGTATCTCCTGCTAAGCCCATATTTGTATGCAAAGGCGTTGATCCAATTACTAAATAGGCATCCCATTGGGCCTTCTTACGATGCTCGGCCTGGCCTGCTTAGCACTTTAGTCGTCTTCTAAAGGGAAGGGAGTCACAAACGTAGCCAGGATTCCTCAGCTTCTCGTACGGTTTCCTCGAGACCTGCAACTAAATTCAGAACTCAGAGGCCCCCAAATTAACTACATGTACAGAAGAGATGAGATCTATTCTCCTCTCCTCTGCAGTGTCACAAAGAGGGCAGGTATTTATTGCAATCTTGCCCCATTGTTTCAATTTATCACGGGTAACAATCCTATTAAGGATGATTAACCATGTAATAAGTCTAAACCTTGGCATTGTATGCTTGCCCTGTTGTGATTCAGTAAGAATACTGTGCATGTCAGCATGTGATTACTAGAACCTTTCCTGTCCGCCTCTATTCGTTCCGAAGTCGTATCGATAGTGATCTCTACAACCTCTCATTCTGTTCTTGTGTTTTCTGCATTCATCTTATTAGCATTATCCTTGTACTTGACGACTGCAGCCATATCGCTATGACCCTTCTGGAATAGGTTCAGTAAGTCATATGGAGGAAGCTGATCATTTACCCTGCCGAAACGATTCAGTAACTTAATGGTTAGAACATTTTCTGGTTGATTGCCACTTATGTTGATCAAATGTAACTGCTACTGGTCAGTTACCTAGGGATTTTTCTGATTGTCAGGTCCCTTATAGGAGTTTCGTTTTCAGGGCTGCACTTGATCAAATTCTTCACCTAGGAAAAGTACATCATTTTGCCCAGAATCAGGTTAAAACAATTTTGTTTTCTGTTCAATCTGGCCGGAACTTCACTAGTTTGCTAGAGAGGGTTTAACATGCTTTTACCAGAATAAGTCCAACAATGTTCTCTGGGCTATCAAGTGAGAATATTTTAGAGATGGGAGTCATAGCATCATTAGCCTTTGTCAGGGTCATATCCAAAGCTCCGGTTATAATAGTGGTCTATTATGTATTCATGTGTTAACTCTCCACCTTTACCTGCCTGAGTTTCAAGAGAGTAAACATCAAACACTTTGTGCAGCATCCCATCATGTAAAGCTCTCAATTGCTTGTTTAGGCTTACTTAACTTATTTCACTTACTGCATGTTACTTGTTAGGCAACTCCAAGGTTATAGATGCACAGAGAAGAAGCAGAAATCTTCGAAGCAGTTGCCATGAAGGTCGACCAAAGTGTTGAGCTCTGCTCGTCGCAGAAGTGCAGAATGCTTCTTCCCAAGAACATAATCAAGCAGCTGGTGATGTTTAAAAAAAGGCACTTCAGAGGTACTTTTTTCATCAAATTTCAGGGATTGGAAGTTTGGAACTTACTAATAGGATAAGCAGCTGGGAAGAGGACTATGACAATCACTCTAACTACAGGAGACAGCTTGGCTCCAACCTTCAGACCATACCGGGAACTAATTGCTTGCGGTATAATCTGCAGCAGCAACGACCTTCAACATTTCAGCTGTTGGAAGAAGTGCATCTCAGGCCGAATTAATGCACTTGAAATCAATCAACCATGGGATGCAAATAGTAGAACCCTGATCACGAAGAGGCGTAAAACATCATGACCTACTGTGTCTGTGGCGGAAACATCTTTCGTGGCATCCTTCATCGGTGCGAACGTCAGGTATGGAATGAACAACGTTGGATACGTAATTGTCTCCACTGGATCTAGGTTCAAGTACAAATAAGCAACACACAGAGGCAAGGCAAATGCTAAGTATGGCTCCATATACATAGCTAAGCGCCAAGGTTAGACAGACCAACTTGATAAAAACGTAATGCGGAAAAGAACAAGACAGCGATTTACGTGGTATCCTCGTTCTGATTGAACGAGACTAATCCACGGAGAACCCTCTCAAGGAGTTCTCGATACTTTTATTAGGTTTTCTTACTGCCAAAACCCCCTTACAACCCTGCACCTCGGCTACATGTGATATATATATGCATAACCCCTTTCTACTGGAACTTCTAGGGTTATACGTAACTCCATGACACAATTACCATGCACTACCTACTACTTAACCATTGGACACTCTACTACACACGTGTCCCACAACACTCCCCCTCAAGCGATGGAGTAAACATTGTGAAGTCCGAGCTTGTCACTGAGAGTAGTGAACTGCTCTGCTCCTAATCCCTTTGTGAAAACATCTGCAGGTTGTTCATTTGTATGAATCTTCTGCGGTGCAATCTCCCCTGAGAGAACTCGCTCACGAACAAAATGACAGTCCATCTCCACATGCTTTGTTCTTTCATGGAAGACGGGATTGGCTGCTATATGGAGAGCTGCCTGGTTGTCACAATGTAGTGGAGTAGACGAGCTGGATGGTACCCCTAGCTCTCGAAGAAGCCATCTCAACCAAATCACTTCACTAACTGTCATCGCCATTGCCCGGTACTCGGCTTCAGCAGACGAACGCGCCACAACTTGCTGCTTCTTGGTTCGCCAAGAGATCGGACTATCTCCCAAACGAATGAAGTAACCCGTAGTTGAACGTCGGGTTTGAAGACACCCACCCCAATCGGCATCGCAGTATGCGTGGAGATTGAGGTTCTTCTCAGAACGGAACAAGAGGCCCTTTCCTGGGGCACCTTTGAGGTACCGTAAAACTCTGTGTGCTGCCATCTCATGATCAACACGAGGAGAGTGAACTGCCTGGCTGAGTATGTTGACGGCATACACTATGTCAGGTCTGGTAACTGTGAGATACATTAACCGGCCTACAAGGCGACGATAACTAGCAGGATCCTTGGCTGCAGGTCCTTCGAGCGACGTGAGATGATGATTCTGCTCGATGGGAAAGGCACAAGGTCGAACTGCTTCTGCCCCAGCATCCTTGAGAATGTCCAAGGCATACTTACGTTGTGACAAGACAATACCGGCTCGAGAACGAGCCACTTCAATACCTAGGAAGTACTTCAGGGTTCCCAGATCCTTGATACTGAACTCTTTATGCAAATGATCCTTGACCTGCTGAATGATATCAAGGTCACTGCCACCAAGCACGACGTCATCCACGTAAATGAGGGCAAATGTGAAAGAGTCGCCCTTCCTATACGTGAACAGAGAGTGGTCTGCACGTGACTGAGTGAAGCCAAAACGCTGAAGTGACTGAGTAAACTTCAGGTACCAGTTCCGTGACGCTTGCTTCAACCCGTAAAGAGATTTACGAAGACGACATACCCGCTGGTCCCCCGGTCGAGTAAATCCCTGCGGAACGGCCATGTAAACCTCCTCGTCAAGATCTCCATGGAGGAACGCATTGTTTACGTCAAGCTGGTGAAGGAACCAGCCTTTCTGAGCTGCCACGGCCAAAACGCACCGAACGGTAACAAGTTTGGCTACTGGGGCAAAGGTATCATGGTAATCGATACCTTCAACTTGGGTAAAACCCTTTGCCACTAGACGCGCTTTGTAGCGCTCCACAGTCCCATCGGGACGAAACTTGATCTTGTATACCCACTTTGCAGCTATCAAACGCTTGCCAGGTGGCAAGAAGCAAAGATCCCACGTGCCATTGGCCTGGAGTGCTTCGATTTCGCGCCGCATGGCTTCACGCCAATGCGCATGGCGAACCGCTTCATGAAAACTACGTGGTTCAGTCAAAGCTGAAACCGCTGCAACAAAAGCAACGTGATTAGTAGACAAACGAGAGTAATCAACAACATCGGAGAGAGGGTACTTGACTGCAGTAGCTGAGCGTGAGGTAGGAAGCATGACCTCATAGTCATCACGCAGCCGAACTGGGAGTTGGGACTGACGAAGACTTCGTCGTGGCAGTGCTGGCGAGACATGACCAGCAGGAGACGAGGAAGGGGGATCATCAGGGGACCCAGCGTCCTCATTGGCGGACTCAACCGGGCTGGTCCCAGCTTCTGCGCGCGCGTCCGCTGGCCGTGACGCAGCTGGTGGCGGGAGTTGTGTCTCCTCGGCAGCAGGCATGGGAGCAGCAGGAACTTGGACAACGGCCTCGGGTGGAGGCGCACAAGGGAAATGATCTTCGTCAAAAACGACGTCTCGAGAAGTGAAACACCGATGGCGCTCGAGATCATACAGCCGGTATCCTTTTTGACCAAGAGGATAACCAATAAAAATGCACCGTCTCCCCCTTGCTTCGAACTTATCTAGATGGTGACTAGTGTTCTTTGCATGGGCAAGGCAGCCAAATGTGCGGAGATGGGTGTAACCAGGAACACGATCAAACAGGCGCTCAAAGGGTGTTTTCCCACCAAGAACACGAGAGGGCAGGCGATTAATTAAGTATGCCGCCGTCAAAACACACTCGCCCCAAAATTTGATGGGCAAACTAGCATGAAAGCGAAGAGCACGGGCCGTCTCAAGGAGATGGCGATGTTTACGCTCGACCACCCCATTCTGCTGGGGTGTGTCAACACAAGAGGTTTGTAACATGATGCCCTCTTGTTCGTAGTAGTCTTTGAGCTGGGTAGACTGGAACTCTAAACCGTTGTCTGCCTGAATCTTCTTGACAGAGTGACCATGTTGACGAACAGCCTGCTGACAAAACATGATTAAATATCGAGCAACCTCGGACTTTGACCGTAACAAATATACCCAAACTCCACGGCTGTAATCGTCAACAAGGGTGAGAAAATAGTGCGCCCCACTCAAAGATGGTACTCGATACCCACCCCAGATATCAGCATGAACCAATTCAAAAGGACGGGTACTCTTTATTGAACTCAAAGAAAACGAATTCCGAGATTGTTTAGCTCGTAAACAAGATGAACAATGATCCGTAGACAACGAAGAACTAGTGTGAGGCAACTTTAACAAAGAAATTTGATTCCCGGACGGGTGGCCTAGGCGAGAGTGCCACAACTCTTGAGGAACGGACTGCTGCCCCTGCGTAGCATGCACCATAGCATCTTTAACTTCATCAAACAAACGCAAGTGGTAGAGCCCGTCTCGTTGCTTACCCATCCCAATCATCTTCTTGAAATGTAAGTCCTGTATCACACAGAAATCGTGCAGGAAGATCAGAGCAATCGGGAAATCCTGAGTAAGACGGCTAACAGACAACAGATTGCACTTGAACTCGGGAACCAATAGAACACGAGGCAACACCATTCCATTTCTCAACTGTACTGCACCAACACACCCAACCTCAACTGTGTCACCATTAGGGATACTGACTTGTAATCCCGACTGAACCGATCCCTTCATGAGGACAGATTGATCCTTCACGATGTGTTCATTACACCCGGAGTCAATGATCCATTCATCAAGATTAGAAAAGGTACCTTGCATATTGGCGGAAGCTGACTCGAATGAGCCACCATCATGCTTCAGGAAACTACGAAGTTGTTCCAGCTGAGAGAGAGACAAGCCGGCGACGGGACTATCACTAGCTTCAACGTTGGCTGCTCGTGGATTGGGACGAGAACGGTCGCTAGACTTGCGCTTTCCGCCAGCTTCTGTTAACTTCTCGGGCCAACCGATCAAGTCGAAACAGCGCTCCTTCAGGTGGCCGGTCTTCCCACAGTGAGTGCATTTAGAACGCTCTCTCCCTTCCGATTGATTTCGCTCTCTCCCCTCGGGACGAGGATTAGCAGCCTCACGAGTGAAGAAAGCGGCAGCTTCGGGAGATGCACGATGTGTAGAAGCAATCCGGCGCTAATGGGCGTCGTTTACCACGAGCTGATACGCCTCGGACAGACTTGGCATGGTTTTCATGAAAAAAACTTGGGTCTTGACAGTGGTGAACGATTCATCAAGGCCCATAAGGAAGTCAAATAGACGAAAATTCTCTTCACGTGCCTGATTCTTCTTGTCTTGGCCACAAGTGCACAATCCACAAGTGCAGGTGTGAACGGGTGCCATACTGTGCACCTCCTCCCAATAGGCACGAAGTTGGGTATAGAAGGCTTGGACGGAGAGCTTCTCCTGTGGAAGGCGGCTGATCATTCGCCGGACTTCATAGACGCGCGGGGCGCTGCTTTGGGCAAATCTTTCACGGAGATCCTCCCAGACTTCACGGGACGTCTTGGCATGACGCATCCCACGACGAACTTGCTTATCGATGGCGCACGTCAGCCATCCTTTGACCATGGCGTCGACGCGCCTCCATTGCGGTACTTTCAGCGGATCCTGAGGCTCGAGAATGGTCCCGTCGACAAACCCCAATTTGTTTTTGGCCAAAAGGGAGTTCGTCATATCGTGGACCCAATCAGAGTAGTTGGATTCGGTAAGGAGTTCCCCAACGTAGACCTGGTTAGGGTTATCCGACAGACTGAGGAACAACGGAGAGGACGGATCCATCTCAAACAAACCACCACTGTTGCTGGACGAGCTGATCGACTTGTCTTTATCGTCGCCGCCAGCCATACTTGAAGGAACCTGTGATCGTCTTCACAGCTCTGATACCATGATAAAAACGTAATGCGGAAAAGAACAAGACAGCGATTTACGTGGTATCCTCGTTCTGATTGAACGAGACTAATCCACGGAGAACCCTCTCAAGGAGTTCTCGATACCTTTTATTAGGTTTTCTTACTGCCAAAACCCCCTTACAACCCTGCACCTCGGCTACATGTGATATATATATGCATAACCCCTTTCTACTGGAACTTCTAGGGTTATACGTAACTCCATGACACAATTACCATGCACTACCTACTACTTAACCATTGGACACTCTACTACACACGTGTCCCACAACACAACTAGTTAAAAGTGGGCGGGGGATTCTGCGGTTCGGTATTAGGACCAAATCTCAAATTGGATTAGACCAAAGCCAACCATTTAGACTGGTTAGTTTGTATGTATCAAATACATTTAACTGTCACTTAGTTTTAGAGTCCATCTAATAAACCATTCGGGACGAATTTGACCTCTAATTCATAATGCATGCACTAGTTCATATTGCGAATCATTTGCTTTTGGTGATCGTGTTAAGTATGGACGGGTTCTATGGATTTGATAGAGCCAAAATGCTTAACGAAACCCAACTTAGAGACTGTCAAGTTCTCCACTTCAGTACAAATTGCTGTTCTAATAATAGGGATCTCGCAACCAGCTAATGCCAACTACGTTCCAACTTATTCGCATGAGATGTCAGCAATAGCGACCACATTGAAATCGTCTGTTTTAGAGGGTGCAGAAAAGTTGGGAATCGGGGAGGATCCTTGGATCTGATTGGTAGTCCTTTTGAGCTTATTTTTGGATGGGCTTCAGGGCTGCAAAGTTGGGCCCAATGAGATAATTTCGAGTTCAATTAACGGGGCCCAAATTGTAGACGAGTCAAACCTATGGATCTCATAAACGATCTTTTTCTTGACCATGGTTTTGCCTGACCTGTCGTAGAGTCGCCACTCTCGAGTTGTCCAAGTCGCTGCGGCTTATTTTGGCAGCTTCCAGGTTTCCACATTCCACTTTGTTTTGGTGATAATTATTAATTTCCATCTTTCCCGATTACGATTTTCCGAATACAAAACACCTGTCTTTCTCCCTAACCACAGCGACGACCTCATCGCATCGTCAATGGCTTCCACACCATCGCCGGCGTCGTCTCCAATCTTCATCGACGCCGAATCCCTGCGCGCCACCCTATCCCACAGCTCCTTAATCCAACACTTCCAGACCTCCCTCCCCGCCGTCGCCGCCACGCTCCACACCCCAATCCGCCAAAGCTACGCCGTTTCACCAACCTCCAACCTCCTCCTCATGCCTTCCTGGTCCACCTCCCCTTCCTCCTCCCTCCCTTACATCGGCGTCAAGCTCGTCACCCACTTCCCCCAAAACTCCCACCTCCACAGCCTGCCCGGAATCCACGCCAGCTACGTCCTCTTCAGCTCCGCCACCGGCCAGACCTTGGCCACCATGGACGGCACCCTCCTGACCCTCTACCGAACCTCCTGCGTCTCCGGTCTCGCCTCGAAGCTCCTCGCCCGGGCCGACAGCAGAGTCCTCGTCATGGTCGGCGCAGGCGCCCTCGCGCCGCACCTGATCAGGGCCCACCTCGCCGCCCGGCCGGGGCTGCGGGAGGTGATCATCTGGAACAGGACGCAGAGCAAGGCCGCCGAGCTCGCCGAGAAGCTGAACTATGAACTCGGTGGTGGTGGTGGTGGTGTGAGCTGCAGGAGCGGCGGGGAGGATTTGGACGAGGTGATCGGGCTGGGGGACATAGTGAGCTGCGCGACGAACAATGCGGACGCTGCGCCGCTGGTGAAGGGGGAGAAGCTGAAGCGCGGGGCGCATTTGGATTTGGTGGGTTCGTTCAAGGAGAACATGAGGGAGTGCGACGACGCGGCGCTGAGGAGGGCAGGGGCGGTGTTTGCGGATAATGAAGCGGCTTTGGTGGAGGCAGGGGAGCTGGTGGGCGGGTTCGAGAGAGGTGTGATTGAGAAAGGGGAAGTTGGGCTGCTGGTGGAGTTGATAAAAGGGGAGAGAGCTGGGAGGAAGGACTGTGATGAGATCACTGTGTTCAAATCTGTTGGTTCTGCTGTTGTGGACATGCTCGCCGCGCAATTCGCGTACGAAGCTCGAGCTAGGAAGTAAGGTAGAGAGGAAGGAAAGAATGGAAATGATGGATGTGCAGAGCTTGTACCTGGAGAGGAATTGAAGTGTGGAGAATGGAGCAGAATTTCTTTTGGTGATTTGAGTCTTTTCTTTCTATGCTAATCTATATTCGGCTTTCTCGAGCACTTCAGCTGGTTGGGCTTCCCTGTAACGGATATTCTCATTGTCGAAACATTTCAGCAATCGATTCCAACAGGGAGAATGGGATTCCAATAAGATCACCAGCATTTGAATAATTGATGATTGTGTTGCAAAGAAGTTATTTCGCAGAGAAGAGGGGAGAGAGGAGAGGGAGCATGGAGAGCTACTGATGTTCATTTTGCTGAGTCTCTTTTATGTTTCAGGGGCCTCTGGGTGATCCTTGGGTATAGTAAATCGTTTAGTTGTCTCTCTGCGCTGTATTCTGAAGTGGCCTGCAAGTAATTGGAAGGAAATGAGTGAGTGGATCATTAGGAATCGGCAGACTTTTGGTACTGAGGAGGCGTTGAGATTGATTCTTAGTATAGTTTGTTACCCGTGAGTTGAATGCAAACCGCAATGTTTGGACTTGAGTTCCAGAGCAAACCCTCAAATCAAAACCCAGAGAATCCACGCCTATAAGGGTTGCTTCCTGCAAATCTCCAACAGAGCCAGTTAGTAATGTACACAGTGTTTGCAACTTGCAAGTAGTGTTTTTCTTTGAAAACCCTATGAATTGTGCAAAATGAAGGATTGCAGAAGTGAGGTATTAGTTTTAACATTCAAACCCATACAACTGTAGAATTGGACTCTACGAACTCGCATGAAGATGTAATGGTATTTGGCATGGGATCAATGTATTTAGCATGGATTTTAAAATGTAATGGTTGTGGCGAAAGTTTTATCCACCAAACAAGGGTTTCTTGATGAACTTTCTACTTAGAGTTTTATGTTCAAATTCGTGAGCAAAATCCATGATCCAAACAACTGACTTGCATCAATTCCCTAATAAACAAGGTTTAAGCATATTACCTCAACTTGGATGCCTTTACATCTCCAACACAGAGATATCAGGGCTTCCGTGACCTTTTCACCACCATCTTTGAGACGGGATATGATCTTGGCTGATGAGTGAGCAATGACATCAGGCTTGGCATTCCTAAAATCGTCTGGTTCAACCGACGTCTGCACCCAAAAATCACATGAGCTGACGTAATTTGTGCTGACTGTAAGATTGTACATAAAGAGCCTCAAAGCCTAAGAAACAATTGTTATATCATTTACCGATGGGGACATAATCTGCATTATGTGAACATAAGAACATACTTGATGTCCATCAGCTGAAATAAGCTGGATCTTTATTGGTTCAAGCTTGTAAAATGAAGTCCCAGTCGCTGGGCCAGTCCCATCTTTCTCTGCCCTACCCGGAACATCTTCAGATGGTGCAGGCTCGGATTCCTGACCATTGATTGCAGCAAGATCATTTCTTTTGCTTTCTGCTTTCTCTTTCCCAACTTGATCTTCTTTGTCATTACAGAATTTATTACCAGACATATGCCTCTGGATGTCGGTATGTTCCTCATCAAATGCAGGTCTGAGAATGCCTTGTATGGCCAGACCAGTTGGTGGTTGCTTCATCCAATCTACAGGATCATCTGAAGCAATCTTTGACAGATAAAAATAAGGAAGAAGCTTCTCAGCTCAAGAGCTATTAGGTACTTGCTTCATCTTTCAGTAGAGACTTCCAGAGTCTCCCATAAAATTACCTGAGTCAGCCTTTTGGCAAAATACATTGGATGAGAAGAATCCTCATCTTCCCAGTCTTCGTCATCAGAATCATCATCCCCATCGACATCATCGTCATCTTCAAGGACAGCTACTATTTCCTATACACACAATTAGAGAATGCTCAATGGAACTGATCAAGGACATACAATCAGTTATGCAAGTTCCAAGTTGATCCGAACACAAGAAAAAGAGAAGAGTCTAGGAAACATCATATCAGACCTCATCATAGTCATCGTCATCATCTTCTTCTTCGGCATCACTATCTTCATCATCGATTCCCTCAAAATCAATGCCGGAATTATTCAGTAGCTCCATCTCACTGATCATGTCTTCTGTATCAAAGCCTATAATCGCTTGCTGTATGAACAGAAGAAACCTTCCAGATATTAAGACATGTACGAGAAATAAAGAGACATTGGAATGATAAAACTTGCAAGCCATTAGAAAACCGCAATACTATGCATCTCCCTCTACATTAATGGCCAGACTGCTTTTGTATGGCTGCCATGCAATGTCATAATGGGAAAAGGAAACACTTGACCAACAATATTATGTGCCAGAAAACTAGAGACTAAACTAGGGTTACTAGCAGTTGCAGGGAGATGTGTACCACATAGTTGTTCTTCGAAGTAAGTGTTTTCAATATGTCTTCGTCATTCTTCACTTGAAAATAGACATCTGCAACACAATTAAATACTTCAACAACTGGGACTCCCAAAAACCATAAAGGAAGTTGTTGCTGATTTACGCATACATAATGACGCCTGACTTACTTCCATATTCGTCGGTCACATATGGCATGTCTGGCCACATGATATTCTCATGAATTTCCTCATTGACCAAGTTGGTCAGCATCACATTAGCTTTGCTGTTCACCTGAATATGACTCACTACATACAGCGTTAGCCGTGCAAACGTAACACTCCAATACTAACTCTAATTCTTTGAAAATTGTCCAATCATGTCTTCCATTCTAAATATGATACCTCAACAATAGTCCTGCAGGTCTCTTCAGCTGTAAGCCTAACATCTCCACTACCTTTGGAGGCCGAATCGACAATCTCCTCAAATGGATGATACTGCACTTTGTCATTCTGCTCAGAGGGATCTGAACCGGATGCCAATTGTCCTTGAGATGCTCGAATCGTACTCTTTAATACAGAACCAGCTCTTGATCTCTGAGAGTTCTTCCTGTGGTGATGATAACCATATGAAACGATCCTTATCAAAGAGAACTCTAAGACATTCCAATAGCATTCGGAATTGGGATTAAGCACTCAGGAAATCCTCGAGTTCGGTAATGGAAATTTTTTCCAGAAATGAACTTTGATTTCAGTTTCGAATGCGAGTCTAGAACTATCGCAGCTGTAACAAGAAGAAAACTCAAACAGTACCACGGTAGGTCGAAGCTGGCCGTGCGTAGCTGCCGGCGAGTGGTGCCGCTTACTCTGCTACGCTCCTCCAAGTTTGCCGCTCCGTGATAATCTACAGTCGGAGATTCCGATCGCAACAACAAGGATAAGGCGTCATTCTCCGATTCAAAAAGCAAGAAAACTGCTCATGCGTGAAACTTAAGCTAATGATGGAAAGTGAATGAAAACTTCGAAGGCAGTATCGCTCCAGGAGCGTCAGTTGGAAAATTGAAGTAACCGGAGCTCAAATGGCGGGAAAACCGGGAAGCATTGAAGGACTCAAAAGACAGGAAAGTAACGAGATAGGACGGCGGAGGAATTTACGGGATAAGGTGGCGGACGAGCAGAAATTAGCGCCGGCGGCGAAGCGGGAGGCCGTCGCTGGTTCAATCGTCATCACCATCATCATTTCTCGGCTTGCTTCTTCCAACTATCCACCATTAACATTTAACCGTAGAGGAGCAACGGGGAGAGATCTACGATGAAATGAAACAAGGCGCTCTCTTTTGAAAGAGCCATTTTAATTTCAGAGATTACTGGATGAGGAAATTGCCCAGTGACCAGTTGCTGGATTGAACCCATAAAACCGGGCCGGATTTATTGGGTTGACCGAGCATAATTGCAAAACCGAGCCGTTTTGATGCTCCGGTTAAGGACTGAGGATGATGGAGGAATAACATCAATCCGCATCCGTTCTCCACTTCTCCGGGGAAGAAATCGTTTTCTGGCAGCGGAAGCGGGGGAAATAACGGTCAACCCCGACCCAACCTATCGATCCGAGACCCACTTGCTCGGCCAGGTTGATGGTTAAAACCGTTTGATCTACAGAATTGAAGAAACCTTGCTTGTGAGTTGTGACTACGTGGCAAGCTTTTATTCGTTGATGAGGGATTGCATCCAACGACACGTTGTCTAAGATAACACCAAGCCCCCGTAAAAGAAAAAAAAAATATAGGAGCGCGCCGTTTTGACGAGAAAGGAAAGGAATGAAAGATAGGAAAGGAACGGGAAATCAAAATATCAGCTGTTTGGATGGTGTGATTTGGCAAGAAAACGCAAGAAAATCAGAGAGGAACATCACCGTCGAGAGAGTGTAGCGAACCAGAACTTCCTATTCTTAGCTTTTCTTGGAATGCTTTCTTTACGATACTGTCTGCCGCTTATTCCGACAAGATTGGAATCAATTGAAGCATCGAATAAGAAGTGTCCGAGGAGATATATCGCAAGTTTTCCTCTTCAGTCGCTGCAAGTTGATTATACAATCTCGTCGTTCGATATGAGCAGAATTCTCACTGAATGGCGGGTGTTTGATGCAGATATGCGAGCTGAAAGGGCCGCGGCCAAGATATCCTCGAGTCTGGAAAACGAAAACGCGAATAGGAACCATCTCTAAGGCAGCCAAGCTAGTTGACTGTGTAAGTATCTCCTCCCCTTTTATCCTGCTCCCCTACGATAAATTTGATGCTGAAATGGATGATTGTATTCAGTAAATTTCATAACTGGAAGAACTGCCCCCATGTATTAGATGAGTTATTGTGTCTTTGGCGACAACCCGGGTTGTTGGGATGAATTGGTTCTTGAGCCATGGAATATGCTTGTTGATGTACTTCTGGTTTGTGTGGTGGTCATGTAGGTAAAGGGATTGTCGAACGTGAAGGAGGAAGTGTATGGTGCACTTGATTAATTAGTTGATTCCTTTTTTGCTTGGGACTTGGAGTTCGCTTTGATTACTGTAAAGAAAGCATTGAGGACTCTTGAGCATCAACAAGAATGGAAAAGGATAATTCAGGTACTGGGGTTCATCAATATCTTTCCTCTTCTTTTACTGATTAAGCTTTGAGGGTTGGTTGAAGAAAACATGAAATGTTGGGATCTGTAGGTCTCTAAGTGGATGCTGAATAAAGGGCAAGGGAGGATGACAGGAGCATATCATATTTCAATCTTATTGAGTGCATTAGCCGAGGATGAAAGGCTCGACGAAGCTGAAGAGCTATGGAAAAAGTTGTTCATGCAGTACCTGGAAGGGCATGCCTCGTAAGTTCTTTGATAAGATGATGTCCATCTATTACAATAGGGATATGCATGACAAGATGTTTGAGGTAGCCTTTTGAAATAGCTTTCCTGTTGTACTCAATTTTCATGTGTGGTTTTCTTAAATTGACTGCTCGATCTTGTAGATATTTGCTGACATGGAAGAACTGGGCGTCCAGCCGAGTGTTTCAATAGTCAACATGATCGGGACTGTTTTCCAGCATCGAGGCATGTTGGACAAGTATGAGAAGCTGAAAGCCAAGTACCCTCCGCCGAAATGGGAGTTCAGGTACATCAAGGGGAAGCGTGTGAGGATTCGTGCCAAGCATTACCGTGAATATGAGAGTGAGAGTGGAGGGGAGGGGGGAATAAAGCGGATGATGAGAACCCAGACGAAAGTAGCAATGAGGAAGAGACTAGTCTCAGCTCGACTGAGTTTGAGGATGAGCTCGACAATCAGCTGGGTAGAGACAGCAACTGTAGCAGTAGAAAGTAGAAACGAAGGGTCAAGCAGGAGAGGCAACGACGCACCTTTGCATCATATCAGCAGTCCATGGAAGTTGATGATGCCGGTTGAAGTCAGAACTTCGTGGGATGAGGGCCAAATTCTATCCTTTTGGACTTGCAGAATGCCAACACGAGTGGAAATCTGATCGGCTAAGAAACTGTAGAAGGTATCAACTGAATTCTGACTTGTTCATGTAATCACTGTGCTGGGCTGCTGGGCCTGGGGGATCTTGTGTAGATGTACAACGGAGATCATAGTTTTTATAGAAGCATAGGAACCTATTTGAGGAGGCCAAGGAAACAGAAGCCATGTATTACCCTTTTGGGACCAGAATGAACATGAGTGAATAGTCTAGTCCCCCTTTATTTGTCACTGCCAGATTAAAATTCTTGCTTTCAACTCAAGAAAAAAGTTCCACATGAAATTGTTCACTTTTCAGTTGATGGAGATGGAAGAGAGAGGGACTACGGTGAAAATTTTACAGAAAGAGGGAAATAACGCTTCCAAGCGGATTGAACCCACGTCTGCTGATCTAGAGCGTATGAAAACAACTACAATTGTACGGGTAAACCGTAAACCCGCGCAAATTACAAATTCTGAACCCTGAATCAGCATTTCTTGCGCCCAAAGCAAGCAATGATCACCCCTGCAGATTTCTTGCCCTTTGCCGGCCGCTGCTGCTTACCTTCCTTACCGCTCCTTCTACTAATTTTCTTCTTCTTCTCGTTTCTGTTCCTTAGCTTCTTGCCCACGAAACCCAACATCCCACCCACCTTCGACCGACGATCTTCAGAAGAACCACCGCCACCTCCAGCGGCAGCAATAGTTTCATCATTATCCCCTCCTCCGGTGGAGCTAGTTGGAGAAGGTGGGGCCGGGACAACTACAGCCTGTTTGCGGCCCAACGTCGACGAGGAGAACTTTCTACTGAGCCGCTTCGATCCGCCGTTGCCCAATGACGACGGCAGAGCCATCAGGTGGCGGTCGATCAAATGGATGACCGACACCACTTCGTGGGAATCGTACAGCGGGCTCCCCAAATCCCACAACTCCGCCGCTGACGGTTCCTCCTTGCCCGTTTCCTTTCTCCGGACATTTTCTTGGAACTTGTTACTGCCGCTTTTTTGGCTCTTCTTCGTCGCCTTCATCAGTTTCCTCATTTTCTGTTCTTGTCAAAATGAATGATGAATGAATTAGAGATGGCAATGAACATATATATATACAACATATAACGAGACAAGCGCAACTTTGTTGACAGATATGTACCCCACCAACTACTAAGATGGAAGATTCGTTTCTCCCCCTTGCATCGTTAAAATATTAGAAGCACCTTGCATGTGATAGATAATTAGGATCCTCGTTGGCCATCTTCTCCGATCTTGTCATTTTTCACACAAGTGAACGAATAGTGTGGAATAGTTCTTCCAACATCAAACCAGTAAGGGGAGATGAATCCGACCAGCATGATACCTGTTGGTTATAGTGATCGATGACTGACGACAGTGCGCTGCTACGAGAGAGGATGGCGGCAGCAAGGAAGAACAGACGACACTGCGCTGCAGCTACGAGAGGGGGTGGTGGCAGTGAGATTGCCGAGGATTCGCACATAATAAACCGGTCAGAATCCTTGTCAGCAGCATTGGCTGGTTACAACTGAAAGAACCCTAATCTTGACTAAGAAGCACTAAAACTGTATTCATGAGTCTGGAGACAAATAACTGTAACTGTAGTCTAACTATGATGGCTGTTAAGTGTAAACTTAACCTTTCCCCAAACTACATTCAATTCAACTAAAGCAACGAAGCTACGATCAAATTTTCCACGAAATACTCGGGTCTAATCCACAAGCCTCTTTTCCCTTGTTGACCCAAAACCCCCCACAAAACTGTTCCTTTTCCTTCACTTTTCATCTTCACCCTCATCCTCAGAACTCGACTCCTTTCTATGGACAGTCCCATTCGCCCCACCTTTCCTCTTTGTATCCTTCTCTTCTTCCTCATCCTCGCTGTACTCGCTCTCGTAATCATCATCGTACTCCTCTTCCTCGTTCTCCTCTTCCTCCTCGATCCCATCCTCGGCAACAGGTCCATCCTCGTTCGCGAACCCGCCACGTGTGCCAGCCCTGGTTCGCTTCAGAATCTTGACCTTCAAGCTCGTCTTCTTGTCACACCCTATCCAAGCGTCGCACATGCAGAAGCAAGTCAAATTATAGTTCCCCTCTGCCGGGGCAGGGAATTTCCCCATCACCAGGCGGGACCCGCTCCGCACCTTCTCTACCGCTTCCCTGACAGCTGTACTGATCTCCTTCACGCTCGCTCCTGATCCCTCCATCGTGTCTTCAATGGCCTTGGAAGCGCCAGTGATGGCAGCTGCCTCGTCCATGAAGTTCACCTTCTGGGAGAACCACACGTTGTTTGAGACAGGGTCTGCGAGGAGGAACCAGTAGTTCTCTTCCTTGTGGAAAGGGTAGTATGGAGAATGTGGGAGTCCGACAGGGAGGCCATTGGGTCGTCTCACGGTGATCCAGGCTTGGACTGTGACGATGTCACCCTCTTGTATGCCCTCTTCGCCTTCTGTCTCACATCTGACTTCGGTTGTTACGGATGGCATCATTGAAAGTACGGTTTCCAAATCATGCACCTCCGATGAGTTGAATCCTGCTGCTTGAGTGAGAAGCTCTGCTCGGTCTTCTGGGGACATCTCGGAGAAGTCCTGGAATGTTCTCACCTTCTGCAAGTATAGAACAAAGACACTTAATGGAGTGGATGTACTTTCAATTCCTAACTTAAATATAAGGCTGGAGGTATAACACTCGAAAAATAGTTGAATCATTATTTTGTGAGTAATAGATCATCGTGCTTTGGATTTACCTTGCGAGCTATCTTCTTGATAACAGAGTCACTGAAATGTGGCAGCTGCAAAAACGGAGCAACCCCCTCGGCCGAACCTCCTGTTGACTTCCTCGCACTGAGCGGAACAGCCTACATTGGTGAAACAATACCAAACATGAACATTTAAATACTGGAAAAAATTAGAAACTGAAATATTAAATTGGGAACAGTTCATTCAAGAAAGAAAGCATGCCAAGAACACAGAACATAATCGCAACTCAAACAAGTATAAGAGAGATGTATCCTTGAAGAGAGGAAGGAATTATGGGAGAATCATAGATTTGACACTCTCCTTATAATGGACAGGCAAAGAGAGAACATATTTTCAGTTGAAGGGAAAGGCAATAAAATCTCAGTGAACACTTAATATGAAGGAACATGTTTATACACACCTGAGTGATGCATTGAGAGAGCTCAACAACCCCTATAGCAGGCCTCAACCATCCGTGCATCTGAGCATTGCGTGGTATAAGTGCCATCTGCATACAAAAAGTAACAATTAGAAACGTAAAGTCTGCAGCAAACGGATCCTTTCTCCAACATAAAAGGATGTGTCATATAGCAAGATGAAGATAAATGAGAAGTTTCCGTCTGATCAGTTATCTGAGCAGTAAAAAAATAGAAGTTTTATCACACTTTCATCTTTCTCAGAGGTCATTCTTTATGACCAGAATTTGGCCGAGTAAAACCCAAAATCCTAAGGGATCTTTCCGAACGGGAGAACGCAGATGGTCACAAGTTTTCTTCCTTATCTAAATGCGATATATCTCAGGCAATATAGTTAGCATGTGATCGTTTAAACAGGCCACCAGTTGTCCCAAAGACTGATGCAAGCCCAAATCCCTCTGTCGTCTTTAAGCTTTTTAAGCTTACTCTGCTAGCACATCAGGAAAGCCTCTTTTAGTTCCCAAGTTCAGTTACCATAGAACCCCAGATTCAAAGATGATCAATTTTCCAATGCAGGGACACCAATGGGTTCAGCTATGCTCACCATACAAAGAAACCCTATTGCCACATACTAGCGTTCACTAATGTGTATACCATGATAGTGCAATATCTTTAGTTCAATGTCATAGATGCAACAATACCTTCATCAGTTCTTCAAGAAGACGAGGAGCAAGTTCTAGCACGCGTTTGAAATCGCCTTGCAATGCTGGGGGCAGGGCTGCTGATTCCCGAGTCAACTGAGCTTGAATCAACAATTCTGTCTGCATATTGAATGATGAAAGGTTGAGCCACCATAATAAAACCACAAGACAAAGAAGTATATTCACGCTTTCCAAGAAAATACCTTAACAACAGCAGGGTGCTGCTTCCAAAATTTAGCCTGTTCTTGTTTAATGTTCTTGAGGTCAAAATTCAACTCGCTTCTAACAGACATAAAGAGCTTCTGAAGAGGCTCATCATCAGTTCTCCGAACAGGAATTTCCATATATTCAGCAGCTTTTGTGAAAACCTCCATCACTTTGCTACATAGTTGGAGAAAAGGAACAACCATGTTAGAAAATAATTCCAGACTTCAACAATATGCCATCATCGTGTTTGAGAAACCAATATGCCATCAAACCCACTACTGCAGAAGATAAGTGGAAACTAGGAAAAATAAAAATACTGTTAACTAATACACAAATTCTCCAAATGGCACATCATCAGCATTTACAAGCAGACAAATACACATTTCTAAGGAATTCAAGGAATAGCTAAGCCTGCAGAATGTACTTTATGAAGAAATCAACTGACCATGGATGGTGACAAAACTAAGCGAACATAGATGACAGACCAGCAACCATTAACTAGCAAAGGATGCCAATTTCATTCCTGTTGAAGGATCAACTCAAACTATCTAAAGGGATGATATGGCATGATAATTACATGGCAACTTAACATCATATTTACATTACTACCAAATAGAAGTACCCTACTACTAAAGAAGTATGTTCTTCGCAATCTTTTTAGAAGCCACTATGATGCGCCTAATTGGTTGCTGAAACGAATTAACATGATGACCAAGATTTAGGATAACCAAAGCCTCTGAAAGAAAATTTACCTTGGGGCTAGTGATGGTTTCATGAAATAGTAGTATGCTGAGAGGGTTTGGTGCATGACATAATTCCCAGTATATTTCGCAGACCTTGAAAGATATATAACGGCTATCACCAATGGCAAGAGAATACAAACACCAACGATCCAAAGTAGAAGAATTCCACCAGATGCACTATCAATGTCAAGCAGAAATTGAGGAAGAGCAATTCCCATTTTAAATCCCTGCCAAGAATCAACTATTCAGTTTTGCTTGGAAATAGAAGTACAGACATGTCAGTAACTGAGTGTCAGTCCTGATACAAAAGCAATCACCTGTCTACCATCTGGATGGCCATATTTCTCATAGTTCTCACGAGATATTGGATCTGTCAGTGCTTGATAAGCCTTAGTTATGAACTCCACAAAGTATGTGTGAGCATCTGCGGGAAAATAAATGGAAACCTAAGGCATTCATTTGATAAATAGAGTTTACAAAAGGCAGAAGAAAAGACTCCGCAAATTTAAAATTGATCAGGCATTACAAATAACCAATGATATATAACATCTCCAACCTGGATCTGGATTTTTGTCAGGATGGTATTGAACAGAAAGCTTCCTGTAACTCTTTTTAATTTCTGTCTCTGAGGCTCCAGGTTTCAATCCAAGTATGGCATATGGATCAAAAGGTTGAACCTGTTTGAATCATATACATCATAAGTAACAGCAGAAATGATTCCAGGACAAGTGGATGTGGCAAAACAACGGAAATTAGATAATTAACTCTACAAGCAACAAACTAATTGAAGTAGGTATTGCAAATAACTAAGGCACCAGAAAAGAACCACAAAATTTACCTCTCGGCTCATGTTCTTTATGTAACAAACTAGGAATATCATGATGACCCAGAGTAGTATCACCGTCAAATTACTGTATGTCGAGAAGTTCGAAATCTGCAACAGGAGAAATAATTTATAAACTCAATCAATTACCAAAAGAATCCAATCTAAGAGCTCATAACAAAATGTCACACTGAAATGAGTCGACAGGAGACTAACCCGCTTGAAGAGAGATTTTCGGTACTTCCCCGAACGGGTACACTCAGAACATTTACAGTGGATGGTCTTTGTTTTCGTTGAGGCAGCACGGCACAACTTCATTATTGTGTAAGGCACCAAGGGCAGTGCCATTATTGTCAGAATAAAAATTGGGAACAATGCACTATTCTCTTCAGAAGCCGCCATGTTGACCTCCTGTCACCTGCAACCATGTTTAGGATTGGTACTTACTCCAAAAATTCTCAAATGCAAGCGTCTAAATCGATAAGAGTCCGAGGTGAAATTCTCAAGCCCTTAGAATCACGGGGAACAATCAGAAAAGACCAAATTTCATAGACCTTGAGCTCCGAGCAACTAACTAAGCGAACTTCCAATTCACAAGGCGGAGGGGAAAAAATTATATTATGCTCAAATTGAGATATCAACGCACGGACAAAAAAGTATAAATTAAATCATGAGATCAAACAGAGCTATCGCTGAGACTATTCGGTTACTGGCAAGGGAAGCTGGTACTACGCCAAGCCAGAGTAAACAAATGAATCGGGCCGGCGGAAGTCCCGAAACACTCCGTTGGAGCGTCCCGATTACACAACGAGCTTAAACACGAATGAATACGAACACCGGAAATCCAGGGAGGAAGAGATGGAGAAATCGATGAGAGAGTTGAAATACCGGGAAGAGACGGAGGGAAACGAGATCGGGATCGGAAACTCCGGACCGCCGGTGCAGCCGATGGCGCGAATATGAACAAAGGGGGGAGAAATGGAGGTGGAAGAGAAGATAGCTAGACGCTAGTGCCTTGTCCCCTTTGGGTTTTTGTGATTTTTTTCTCTCCGCAGATCCAAGAAAGTAACGTAGCCCGGCAACAGGGTTTTGACCCCCCTGAGTTTACCATTATGCCCCTTTCTTGCTGCATGTTGCCTTTTAAATTTTCCAATTATGTAAATTCAAAATTTTCCCTTTTCTGGAGTGTGCCCACAGTTATGTTGCTTCATCCAAATCCATATGATTCTCGTACACAGCACAACTATCAACTAATGGATGGTAATTGATCTTTCATCTTAGGTCACCCAACTACAATCATTCTCCTATTCTAACAACAGATCATCTGAACAAGAAAACTAGGTAATGTACACTTTACAATGTTGTACATTATCTAAGTCAAACTCGAACAATTTCAAGCAATCTCGACGGATCTGGATATAATTGTCTACCAACCTAAATCTTTCTCTGTCTATTCATGTGAACATGATTATGTCGACTCACAAATCATTTACCCGCGCACGCGCAGTAAAGAAGCTACATTTTGCCCTTTCCTCTACTCAACTCATTCCCCCAACGGACCCACCACGATGAATTCGTCTTCGACATGGCCGAAAAGAAATCCCCCACGTTTTTCATGAACAACGGATCCATATTCGTAAATTTGAAATCGTTATCTCTACTACCAGAGGTTTTATCGTGATTGGTCTGCTCCAGCTCTTTTGTCAGAGTGTCCATCATCTTCAAACTAGTTTCACTCATTTGTCTCGCCTCCCCGGTAGAAATGCCTAATATGGTAATTTTCAGAAGAAGAGGATTATCTTCCAACGTTTGCTCCATCGCAGGCCCGCTAGCATAGGGCCTCGCAACTTTAGGGACCTCCACTAAATAGAACTAGCTTAAGTATTAGTTATAACTTATAAGTATTTGGGCTAATGTATAGACTTCTGATATTAATAAAACCCGTTTACTTCTATGCATATGGGCCACAGGAAAGGATGCATGCCCCAAGTGCAAAAGTAAAGGAGTTAATTAACTACCCCTTCCAAGTTCCAACGTCCCCCCCCCCCCCCCCTTTTTCTTTTAACACTATATATTAAAAGTAGACATCCAAGTCCAGACCCAGCAATGCTAAAAAAGCAAATTCAACCGCCAATGGTAAAAAAGAAGTTAATTATCGATTTTTCTCTTGTCATTAAGTAATCAAGATTATGATTTTTTTGCTCAAGAATGTAATGATTTCATTAATGAAATAAAAATTGGGCCTAATTTTTTTCTGAACAGGGCCTCTAATATTAATGGGTCGGCCCTGCTCCATCCATTCTTTTGATGAACCCTCCATTCTGTAAAGGGAGAATAACAAGTTCAGAACGAGAATATCATGAAGAATAATGATGGTACTAATAACTGAAACAGGAGATACAGAGAGAATACTATTTTCCACCTTGGTTCTGAACCTCTGGCCGGTTTGGATTGATGTTTCAACCATGGAAGACCAAGCCAACTTCCAAAGGGAAGTCGTAAATCTGGTCCCTCTTCATAACTCACTTAGTGTCTTCTTCTAGTTCACCTTCACAATTTCTATCACCCGCTTGAGAACCGTCAAGTAAGTTGGTTGACTTTGAAACTCGCTGTAAAGAACATGCACTCTTGCAACATCCACCCAACATAATTAAGGAATAAACAAATGGGATCTCTACATAATTTTGACAATGAAATCGCATCCATTCACCATGTGGAACACGTAAAAGAATTACCATAAGTTCTAGGAGCGGAAATAGGGGGGAGGGTTTGCAATTTGTAGGTGGAGGTGGCAATGTTCAAATATTCACCCCTCACAATATTAACCCTGCATTCAAAAATCACCCGCCTCTTTGGGAACGTAGGACTAAGAACCAATTAAGTGTTAACGGTGTAAACTTGGAGGGTTTTGTCTTTTGAACTGTGCAGTAAAGTGGAGGAATGATAATTTTTGTCTATGGGCTTGACAAACAGATTAAAGATGGGTTGTCAATGTAATATATCTAATCTCTATTAGTCTAGAGAATCCACTTATTGAAAGTGTTCCAACATAATGGATTGAACCAATGAAACTTACATTCACTTTAGAAAGAGATCGGTATGCAAACACAAGTGTTTTTTTGACAAAAAGAACGTAACTAAAAGGTGTCAATCGACACCAAACCATATGAATGGAACTTAGTAAATATGCAAGTGATCGTTTTTGGGTCATATACCAACTACCCACTAAACTCCTAAAATCGGCAAGTGTTTTTGGTTCATATACCAACTAACATCTCATATACCAAATGACTCATATACCAACTAAACTCTCAAATCCTCTTATATACCAACTAACATATAATATTTTTGCTTATACCAACTGACCTCTCAAATCCTCCCATATACCAGCACTACGCACGAGTTTAATGTAAACAGTATGAAGTAAGGCACCTGAGAACAACTACGAAAGCCTATGGTATCTCTCATTCAAATATCAAGTAAGTTTGCTCCAATACCTTTGACATACTCCAATTCTTCTCTTGTGGTATCTCCGAACCACAATGCTACAATTTTAGAATAGACATGTCAACTAGGAAATAAAAGGTAAGTACACAAATCTAACTAAAATAGTTGATATATCAACAATTAACTTACCCTCATTTTCATCGAAGTGGAGAAGATGCTCCCTCAATATTCCAGCGTAAAGTGAAGGTGCTCCATCTAGGTATATCCGACCATAAACTCACAGTATCTCCATTTGTTGAAACGCTGAGTCTAAGATCTAATAATTGGCCTCTAAAGTATCATCTCAATGTCTTGTTATTAGTTGTTGACTTATTATAAACTAAATACTGAACCATGACGTCCAGAGTAACCAATAATTCTTAGTTCTTTATGTAACAAAGCAACATATGAGTATTCAAAGGAGCTCAACTTGTCATCTAGTATAGTTTTATAGCAGTGTTGTACATAAAAATGACATGAGATCGTGTTCATGTAAAAATAAATTATTTCAAAGATATCAAAATGTATATCAATGTGTAGATAATAAGAATTCAGATTTCTTGGTTAAAAATATTTAAGTTTGATATTTAAATAAAAAGATAGGTTTAATACACTTGTATATCCAAAACTTTCACGGTTGTGCCAATAATATCCAAATTTCCCGAAATACCACTTATATCCAATTCCTTCACATTCTTTAACGGTGTTTTTGGATATACAAGTGTATTTAACCAAAAATATATTGGGAAATGGATAGATTTGGCAAAGAACAACTTTAAAACATGGATATAAGTGGTATTCCGGGAAATTTGGATATTATTGGCACAACCGTGAAAGTTTTGGATATACAAGTGTATTTAACCAAAAAGATATGAACCAATTAAAGATAGTAGGAGTTATGGAGAAAGATGAGAGTAATAGTATTTTTTGGTAAGAAAAGAACATGACAGAAATAGTATAACATGGCATGATTGGTTGGATGACTAAAAAAGAAAAGAACCAAATAAAAAATCAAATTATTCTCTTATTTTTGCGATAGATCTCTTGGAGATATAAAATTGAAAACAAAAAAGGAAACCCTTTATTGGCCCGCTGAGAATCATATTCCATTGTATCTAAATTTCAAATGAGCAAAATTATATATTTAGAAACGGATTATATATGTAATTTAACGTATTTTTAATAACTGACTTATTATAAGCTAATTACTAGACCACGACATTAATATCAACCAATAATTCGTAGTTCTTTATGTAGCTATGAAGTATATGATTCTCTAATGGAGCTCGACTTGTAAATTAGTGTATAGTTTTATAGCAATGTTTTGCATGAAAGTGACACGCGATTGTGTCTATGTCTGCGAAATGGTCCAAATTAAATTATTGCAAAAGATATCAAAATATAAATCATTTATAGATAAGAAGAAATAAGATTTTTGTGTGCAAAAATATATGAATTCAAAATTTTAATGAATAATACGAATCAATTAAAAATAATAGGGACTTGTAGAAAAGTGAGAGAGATAGTATCACATGGCATGTTTTGGTTGGATGACTAAAAAAAGAAATAACTAAATAAAAAATCAAATTATTCTTTTATTCTTTGCGTTAGATCTCATGGGGGCATAAATATAAAATAAAACCCTATTATTTCCCAACCGAGAACCACTCTCGTGACTCTAAATTTCAAATGAAAAAAATTGTTGGTTGCTTGCAATGGTATATAGGGGGTAGATTATCAATGGTTAGGTTGCGATAATAGATTCTTAGATAGGGGGTCAAAAGATGTTAACATTTTGGTATCTTCTAACCTTGATTATGAATACTTAAGAACCATAACGTGTTTAAACTGGAGAGTGTTCCAACATAACGGATTGAATCAACTGAGCCGAAATTTCCTTTTGAACAAGATTGGTATACAACTAGAAGCGTATTTCAATAAAAAGAACATAACTCAAGGGTGTCAAAAGAAACCAAACCATAAACAATGGAACTTAGTAAATGCTACAAGTGATCGGTTTTTGATTCATATACTGACTATACACTCAACTCCTAAATTGACTTGTGTGTTTTGATTCATATACCAACCCATCTCTCACATACCAGCTAACATATCATATACCAACTAAACTCTCAAATCATCTCGTATACCAACTTATATCTCGTATCCTAGCAGATACCAAAGTACCTCTTATATACCAGCTAACCTCTTAAATCCTCCCATTCTCCCATATACCAGCATTGGACATGAGTTTAATCTGAACTATATGAAGTAAGACACTATAGTACAATCGCGAAATTTGCGGTATCTCTCCTTTAGATACCCCACCCGACGAGACAGGTTATGAAAATCTTTCCATAAGTTTGTTTTTATGCCTTCGGCGTGCTCCAATTCTTCTGTTGTTGGCTACCCAGACCACAATGATGCAATTTTAGAAAAGACAAGTTAGCTAGGAAATAGAAGGTAAGTACATAAATCTAACTAAAGTAGTTGGTATAGCAAATTAACTTACCCTAATCTCCATCGAGGTGGAGAAGCTGCTCCTTCAACATTCCCACACGACGAGAAAGGGTTCCATCTAGGTCTATATGAATATCAATTCTCATTACCTCCATGCGCTAAAACGCTGATCTACTGTCCAATAAATGGTCTTGAGTGTATCATCTCATGTGTTGTTATCGGTCGTTGAATTATTATAAGCTAATTACTAAATCACGATATTAATATCGATCAATAATCTTAGTTCTATACGTAACTAAGCAATATATTATTCTCGAAAAAGTTCAACTTGTAATCTAATATATTTTTATAACAGTGTTGTACATGGAAGTGACATGAAATCGTGTCCATGTATGCAAAATGGTTACAAATAAATTATTTCAAAAGATATAAAAAAAACATATCAATGTGTAGATAATAAGAAATTAAATATTTTGGTGAAAAATATATGAATTTGAAATTTAAATAAAAAGATATAATATCAATTAAAGATAATAGGGGACTTGGAGAAAGATAAGAGAAATAATATCGTGTTGCATGATTTGGTTGGATAACTAAAAAATAAAAGAGCTAAATAAAAAATCAAAATATTCTCTCATATTTTCTTTTTTTGATACTTAGATCAAAATTTCATTAAGAACAGGCAACCAATAGTATAAACATTATGGCGCTCCTGGGAACAAACAATCTGTACAATGAATCAGTTAAGCAATAGAATAATTACCCCAAACCCCTAACAATGAAGCAGGTCCAGT